TTAATTCCAAGATGTCATTTCAAAATATGTCATACCTGAATTCATGAAAATGTGTTTTAAGTAATCTCTCTTTAAGATAATCATTTGTCTTATTTTTCTCTTTTAAAAGTCAAACTTTTAAGGCAGAGAGAAAAAAGGACTAGTGTTATTTAATAGGCCTTTATAAAAGAAAAATGACAAAGAGTTAGGACCACCCCCTCCTGAGGTGGACCAAAGTCGATCTGTAACACACAGACAGTTAAGTTTCACTACTTCTACAACTTCTTCCACCACACACTTCACCGAGCCTGTCTCAGAAGACTTCACTGGAGTTTTGGAGAGAAAACTCCAGAGAGAAACATGCTTCTGCACAGAGAACTGGAGAGAGAAAAAACCTGCTTCTGCACTGAACTCAGAGAGGAGAGAAGCAACCTTTCTGCAGACGTCTCAAAAGAAAAGATGGAGTTCACAGAACCCAGCATTTAATTGTCACCAGAACCCAGGGCTCCAGAATCCCACCGCAGAGGAGTGGTAAATCCCAGCTGACTCCCATATGGACCCTCGTCCCTCTAAGATGGTGCAAGCAGCTTGGTGAAAAAAAGATCAACTGTTGGAGCAATTATTAGAAAATGGAAGAAGCAAAACATGGACATAAGGTGGACTTTGAGGAGACTTCATCCTCAAAAGTTAACTTGAACATCTGGGCTGGTACCATTTTAAGCAGCTGTCGGACCATTCTGACATCTCATCCTGGTAGGACAGAGACTTTTAATGCCTTTCTGCTGACCCTACATCACAATAATCTTATCAGACAAACTATCGCTTACTTTAGACACAATTTTTAACCACTTCACAAAACAGTAACCAGTCCAAAATCTGCCTTTTAAGTTTCACTGATTTGAATAATCAATTAGACCTTTGATGCAAAGCTATTTGTTATTCAGTTAACTTTTGTTATGCATAATCTTCATCACATATATCACAGTTTATTATTTTTATAATAAAATACATAAAATCAACTGAATTTGTGATTATTTTGGCATATCTGTGTGTATTAACTGATTTGATGCCCTTTAAACATGAGAAAAGAACTCACGTTTCAGTTTACATTAATTTGGGGTTAAATAGAGACTGATTTTCCCTCTCCAAGAGAGGTGGTGCCCACACAATGAGGTTATTTGCATAATACATGCATATCTTATGAGCTTAACTCATAACTGATAATCAACAATATATATCCGGCCCCATATCCCTCTATACGTCTTAGTGTATTACCCACAGTAACCTTAGAAACAGTGGTGCCAGCTCTCTTCAGGTCATTGACCAGCTCCTCCCATGTAGTTCTGGGCTGATTCTTCACCTTTCTTAGGATCACTGATACGCCACGAGGTGAGATCTTGCATGGAGCCTCAGTCCGAGGGAGACTGACAGTCATGTTTTGCTTCTTCCATTTTCTAATAATTGCTCCAACAGTTGATCTTTTTTTCACCAAGCTGCTTGGCAATTGCCCTGTAGCCCTTTCCAGCCTTGTGGAGGTCTACAATTTTGTCTCTGGTGTCTTTGGACAGCTCTTTGGTCTTAGCCATGTTAATAGTCTGAGTCTTACTGTGGGGTGGACAGGTGTCTTTATGCAGCTAATGATCTCAAACAGGTGCTTCTAATTTAGAATAATAAGTGGAGTGGAAGTGGACGTTTTAGAGGCGGACTAACAGGTCTTTGAGGGCCAGAATTGTTGCTGATTGGCAGGTGTTTAAATACTTATATGCAGCAGTAACACACAAATAAATTACTAAAAAATCATACAATGTGATTTCCTGATTTTTTTTTTTTATTCTTCTGGTGAAGATTCTCAGTCATCCAGGACATGATGAATTCAAAAAGCGTTCAATACAAAAACAACTGGACTTTATTTGTAACAGAAGACGTTTCGCTCCTCATCCGAGGAGCTTTCTCAATTCAAAGAGCAGAGAGTGAGAGATTCAGGTTATAAGGCTGAGTGAGCTAAGACACACACACGTACATTGGCAATTCACACCTAAACACCTTAACAGTAGGAGTTTCTTAAAGCCTTTGTTCCTCTAATTCACAGTCGAGGCCCCTCTGTTCCCATCAGGTGTGAAAACTGACTGGGAATCAGTCTTAAAGTTGCATTATAGGTTTTTGAATGTGGAAATCTGAGGCCTCCTCCTCTGTTAAGAGACGGCTTTTCTCTTTGTACATAAATTGCTTCCTTGACCCCCCTCTCAAACCATCTGTGTTCTCGGTCCAAAATGTGCACATTTTGGTCCTCAAAAGAGTGTCCCTTATCTGTGAGGTGGAGGTGAACAGCTGAATTTTGTCCAGAGGAGCTGGCTCTCCTGTGTTGAGCCATGCGTCTGTGAAGAGGCTGTTTAGTTTCTCCAATGTAGAGGTCTGGACAGTCCTCGCTGCACTGGACCGCATACACTACACCACTCTGTTTGTGCATGGGTGTTTTGTCCTCAGGGTGGACCAGCCTCTGTCTGAGAGTCCTGCTTGAAATGTACTGGGATCTTGTGTTTGTTGAAGATCCTTCTGAATTTCTCTGATACTCCAGCAACATAAGGGATGACAATGTTTTTTCATGTGCTGTTCTCCTTTTTCTGTTTATTAGTGTGTTTTGTAGATTTCCTCGCTGACTTGACAAAAGCCCAGTTAGGATATCCACATGTTTGAAGAGCTTCTTGGATGTGTTTCTGTTCCTTTTCCTTCCCTTTTGTCTTTGTGGGGATGTGTTCGGCCTGATGTTGTAAAGTTCTGATGACAGAGAGTTTGTGTTCCAGTGGATGGTGGGAGTCAAACAGAAACATTTTTTTATTATTATGTTTCTCACAGTGGACATGCACCTAAGATGAAAATTTCAGACCCCTCCATGATTTCGAAGTGGAAGAACTTGCAAAGTCGCAGTGTGTTCAAATACTTATTTTCTTCACTGTAAATGCACAGTGAGGCTTGAAAGCTTGTGAACTGTTCATAATTTTCTATATTTGTGCATAAATATGACCCAAAACATCGTCAGATTTTCACACAAGTCCTAAAAGTAGATAAAGATAACCCATTTAAATAAATGAGACAAAAAAATATATATGGTCATTTATTTATTGAGGGAAATGATCCAATATTACATATTTGTGAGTGGTAAAAGTATGTAAACCTTTGCTTTCAGTATCTGTGTGACTTGCAGACTATTCCAGGCCTTGCTCTTGAAGTAGTCTATGTTGGTCCACCACTCCAGCCTGATGAGCATCAAAAATCTATTCTGTTCTTGCCATGATACACTTTCATAAACATGTGTTGTGAAGATCAGTGTAATATTGGATAATTTTCCTCAATAAATAAATGACCAAGTATAATATTTTGTCTCATTTGTTTAACTGGGTTCTCTTTATCTACTTTTAGGACTTGTGTAAAAATCTGATGTTTTAGTTTATATTCATGCAGAAATATAAAAAATTATAAAGGCTTCACAAACTTTCGAGCACAACTGTAAAACATCTTGTACATTAAGCACACATGCAGCAAACATAAGTGAGAAAGAAAGGAAAGAGTGTAAGAAGAGAGACAACATAAAGACAGACACAACCAAACAGAAGAAGGGGCAGGTTATCCAGTGATTTTATTTATGGGCAATTAGGTCATCTGAGGCAGAATCTCCTGTTTTGTTTGATTCCATTTGTATTTTAAAACGCGGCCTGTATTTTAAATGAGAAGAACTTTTCAACATGTTATAACACATGACAGAGCAAATCACTGGATTTTACAGGGTAAGCAAACCAAACAGACCCAATGACAAACATAGAATCTACTAATGTTTGTTTTTTTGCTATAGTTCTCCTTTAAAGTACACTCGAGCGTCAGACACCTCTGTGTGCACACAGGTTGAACAGTGCTCAGAGTCTGAGGAGTGTGACTTACCTTTCTGTGTACTCAAACAGCAAACTAAGACCCGTGTACATGTGAGTACTGTATGTGTGATACACAACTATTGTATTGGAAAAAAAATACATTATTTTAGATTAAACTAAAGACAGAAAAAAAAACAAGTTTGTGAAAAGTTTTTTTATCAATGACAGAACTGGTGTACGTACAGCCACTGGTCTGATTTATCTTAACGTGTTATTAAGCCATGCAGTTATTATCCAGAAGCTGTCAGATTACTGAACTATTTATAATAACACTGAACTACAGTATTTACAATAACATTGCACCAAGCCACATCTGTGACACCTAACATGTTTCTTGCTGCTGCACTATATGGCTGTATCATGTATGTCACTACCTTGCCATCATAATTCATCTCAATGTTACTTACTGCCTGTGCAGTTTATGTTATGTGTAGTATACAGTATATCATGCACATTTAAGCTAATATTACTACCTGTGAAATATTAATTTATACTAATTCATCCTACTTGCACCATTATATTCTACCATGTTGTTGTTTACGTTATTTCTTTTGGACCTTGTAAATATTATACAGGTATTTCTTTTTCACTTTTTGGTACTTTATTTTGTACCCTTATTGCATGCTTTAATATTTCTTCTTTGTTTTTGTTTTGTTTTTCTGTTTTTAGCGAGTTGAATCTGTTCCTCACATTCTTCTCATTTCATTGCACTGTTGACATTGTGTTAACCTGCATATTACCAATAAACAACATAACAGAAGGCATGTTGCATTGTTTGGTAGAAGCTTATTCTAGCCATGGTCTTAAGGTGTCCTCTAGTGGACCTGAGGCAACAGTGCAACCGAACAGCCTGGGGACTGCTGCTATTCTGTAGTATACTGTATTTAGAACATCTTTCTGCATAAATGAGTTGTCTAACGACATCTAATTGAATTTCACAGCATTTAGAGAGCATGGTTCTGTTTTATCATTCTCTAAATTTTGTTTATTTTTCTTTTCAAAGAGCAAACGATGATGTGATGGGACAAAACAACAAGTACAGGAGAATAAATCTTGTCTGTTAGCAGAATGAGAACATGTCATGAGTGACCAGTTTACCTGGTGTGTAGGCACTCATCACTTTTGCCTCGCAATGATTGGTGGAGCATGATGACCTCACTGTGGTTACCATGGAGATGAATGACAAAGAAATCAACAACAGTCAAAACACCATGAAGAGCAGAGGGAGAAGGGGCAAATAGGAAGGAGTTTGCAATCATTTGTACAAATACTTTTTCAGAAAATGTTAAAAACAAAGTAGAGTGTTCAACGTCACGGTCAGTGTTCAGCTGCAGCACCTAAACACATTCAATATGCAAAAATAAACACTAAAAATATTTGTGCCACTAAAAGAAAAATAAGTAAATCCATAAAAAATAATTGCAAAGTCAGTAAAAGCAGTAGGATAATACACAATGTTTCCACCACACACTTCTGCTGCACAAAGTTCTGCAAAGCAATCCAAGGCAACAGAAAACCACAAGAAAAGAAAAGACACTGAGTGAAACTCAACATTCCTCCACTGAACACCCACTGGTTTCACTTTATCCAAGCACACACACACACACCTGTCATCCAGGTACTCCTCCCCTTGCCGGTGGCCTCTGGCAGCATCGCAGTGGCGGTTTGGAGATCGAGAACGACGAGTGTGGGGAAGCTCATCATCCAAACTCCTGAATAGACAGACAGATTTGTGTCAGCGTGGGGGTCAGGGGTGCTGCCACAGCCTCTTTAACTCAGTTTGTACAATCAGAGCTGGCAGCATGGTGTGTTCTGCATCAAACAGCCCCTTCATTAGCAGAGAGGTTCAGTCTGGTCCAACAAACAGGGTTCATCTCTGCTGCAGGTTCTTACGTCCTTCTCTAAGAGATCCTTGTCTCCAAACACCTGCTGATGCTGATATTTTACCAACTAGCATCCATCCAACCATACTTTCATCCATCCATCCTTACATCCATCCATCCATCCATCCATCCATCCATCCACCCATCCATTCCATCCATCCATCCATCCATCAATCCTACATCAATCCTCTTTGCCACTTCTTTTTTTACAGTTCATTGGTGTCCATATCCAGCCATCACTGTGCGAGAGGCAGGGGACACCCTGGACAGGTCTCCAGTCCATTACAGGGACACATAGAGACAAATGAGACAAACAACCATTCACTCTCTCACTCACACCTAGGGACAATTTAGAGTTATCAATCAGTCTAACATGCATGTTTTTGGTCTGTGGGAGGAAACCAGAGTACCCGTAGAAAACCCACTCATGCACAGAGAGAACATGTGCATGCAACTCCACCCAGAAAGATACAAATGCATAATTATATCTTTGTCTCTGACCTCTGGGTGGGAACGTTAGGTGCTCGGGACCGGATGCGGCCCTGCTCCTCACGATGCGGGGACACGGAGCGGGAGCGTATGTGATGGGAGGGTGTCCGTTGCGGCTCAGGAACCTCAAGAGTGGATGTGGGCTCCCGCTGCCTCTCCCTGCCACTGCTGTCTGCTTCAGGACACAAAGATAACACACATGAACACACTTACAGATGCATGCTGTGCAATAAACATGAGCAGGTTGTCTATGTTTTGTTTAGTTTTTTGTACTGATTTTGAACTCAGTGATCCCCCATGGTCCCAGAGCTGGGAAAACCTCCAGAGAGGGTGCAAGGAAGCCTCCTAATGAGACTGCTGAACCATTTTAACTTTCTACGTTCAATATGGGATGCCTAGCAGTGTGATCCATCAACAATCACAAAATATGCTCAAAAGAACCTTTTGGAAATTTGGGACAACCAGCTCGGTTGTCACTCTACAGGTGTCCTTATCTAGCGTGGGACATGGAAAAATATGCTAGCTCCACAATGTCCAGTATTCAGCATCACAGGGAGAAACTTGTCCAATCCTGGAATCCTGCTGCCAAGAAGCATTTTAACTACCTTGACGACCCATGCCAAGGTACATAAACTTTCTCTGGCTTCTCAGACTGTTTTCTCAAAGGTGTACATGGTGACTGGATTAAAGATTTTCTTCCAACTATTTAACTGTCAACAATGGTGTACCACAAGGCTCAGTCTTAGGACCCACCCTCTTCACAATTTGCATAAGTAATGTAGGTCAGATCATTCCTGATGCATCTTTACATTTCTATGCCGACGACACAGCAGTTTATTATCGAGCTAGAACAGTTACTAAGGTTTTTCAGCTTGTACAGTCTGCATTCAACATCATCCAGTCAGATTTGTTCCGTCTCAAACTTGTGTTAAATGCAGATAAAACCAAAGGGATGAGTTTTTTCAAACAGGAAGTCAATACCAGCAGTCCTTCCTTCTATATTATCTATGAATGGTGCCCCTATTGAGTTTGTCAATTCTTATTAAATACTTGGGTATCTTGGTTGATTCACATCACTCTTTTAAGCCTCATGTTGAACACTTGATACAGAAACTGAAAGCTAAATTGGGTTTCTTTTTCAGAAATACACTGTCTGGCCAAAAATAAAGTCACCACCACAAAAAAAAGGTCACACACTATTATTTTGTTGGACCAACTTTAGCTTTGATTACGCCATGCATTCACTGTGGCATTGTTTCAATAAGTTTCTGCAATGTCACAAGATCTATTTCTATCCAGTGTGTCATTAATTTTTCACCAAGATCTTGCATTGATGACTAGGCACTAGGCATGATGGGTGCATCACTTCACCTGCCTCTCTTCTTACCCTGATGCACCCATCACTCTGGAACAGGGTAAATCTGGACTCATCAGACCACATGACCTTCTTCCATTGCTCCAGAGTCCAATCTTTATGCTCCCTAGCAAAATGAAGCTTTTTGTTTTTTTGGTTAGCCTCATTGATTAGTGGTTTTCTTAAGGCTGCACAGCTGTTCAGTCCCAATCCCTTGAGTTCCCTTTGCATTGTGCATGTGGAAATGCTGTTACTTTCACTATTAAACATAGCCATGAGTGCTACTGTTGTTTTCTTCAATTTGATTTTACCAAACGTTTAAGTGATCGCCGATCATTCAGGATTTTTTTTCAGACACATTTCTTCCTCCAAGATGATGGGTCCCCACTATCCTTCCAGTTTTTAATAATGCGTTGGACAGTTCTTAACCCAATTTTAGTAGTTTCTTCAATCTCCTTAGATGTTTTCTCTGCTTGATGTCAATGATTTGACCCTTCTCAAACAGACTGACATATTTTCCACAACCACGCGATGTGTCTTTCGACATGGTTGTTTAAGAAATGAGAAGCAACTCATTGCAGCAGTTGGGGTTAAATAAAGATAATCGCCCATCCAGTAATTATCCAATAGGAGGCTCGTACCCATTTGCTTAAAATCCAGGTTGTGACTTTTTTGGGGGCCAGGTAGTGTATATCCTGTCTAAATCTGAATGCTAAGAAATGCCTTGTAATTGTTACTTTCCTTCCCTCCATTGACTACAGTGACATTATTTACATGAATGCTCCTGCAAGTACCTTGCAGATGTTAGACTTTGTCTATCATGGTACGTTAAGATTCATAACTGGCTGTAACTACTTTACCCACCATTGCACCCTGTATTCACTGGTTAACTGGACATTATTAAATTCATGCAGACTCTCCCACTGGTACATTTTCATCTTTAAATCACTTCTTGGTCTGCTGCCTTCATACATCTCCTCCTACATGACACTTTGTCAGTGCAACTACAGTGTGTGCTCTCAAGACATAATTACATGCAGTGTTCCCACAGTGCGGACCGAATATGGCAAAAGGGCCTTCTCCTTCTCCGCCCCTGTAACCTGGAATACCTTGCAAAAAGATCCGAGGTTGTCGACTTTGACCTCTCTAAGGGATTTCAAACTGTTAAGTTCATGGCAAAAACCAACACAGACATGTTCTTGTTTTTATTATTTTACACCATTTTATAATGTAGCTTGTTTTTGTTTCATTTTTATATTGCTTATTTTATTTACTTTTCATGGTATATGCTTTTACAGTATATGATTGTCTATTGTTGTCTGTACCTCATCTGTGTTCTTTGTTAAAAACAGGTCTCTCTTGTAAATGAGTCCTCCTGACTCATTGAGACTAATCTGTATAAACAAAGGTTGAATGAATGAAAAAAGGAGATCATTGAAATTTTCTCTGTCCAGGTTGGCAATTTCCCACCCAAAACAAAAACTTTAAAGACACCTAAAACTATAGTGTGTGATTTTCTTTTTCATTCTTCAGAACAAAGTCTGTGACAAACTGAGTTACCACGAAAATCTCTGACGTGATAAGAAATAAAAGTAAAAGCTTTGGGAAGCACAGAATGTTATGTGAAGAAATATTCCCCACCCACCTTTAGATACTACTGTTGTACCCTCATCAAAATCAGGCTCTGTAACACGCTGAGAACCTAAACAGTCATAAATACACATACACATAAATACATGTATTTACACACACATGCACAAAGGAAACATTGAACACAGACATTTGTGTTGACAGACTTGTAATTTCCTTGATGAAAGGAAAATGTGCAGTCTCTTACAGGGATAACATGCACGTGTACACACAAACACATACAGCCAGGTCATAAATCCACTAAAAGAAAAAGTTTGTCCATCTCAGACTTACGCTGCAGCTTCTTGCCACTTGTGTCCGTGTGGCGCCGGGGCAGGTAGGGGGAAGGTCGAGGAAGTGGGATGGATGAGACATCATGGGTCTGAAGAGGATACCAGTGAGGCTTGTCGTCAAGTAAGGCCGTCTCCAGCTCGATCAGGATCTGTTCAACAACATTAAAACTTGGCTGCAGTGTACTAATTTCACTCAAGTTACTCTGGTTCATACAGAGCAGCTCAGGCCCAGTACTGACCGGTGTCACTGGATTCTTAATTAATTGAACAGTGATAGTCAACACACTCAGATAAAACAGATTGAATCAGATCATACAGGCAACATTCAGGAAAGCAAAAAAAAAAAAAAAAAATTCCTATAACAAGAAACAAATGTTTCCTTGCTCACACTGACACTAGAAATTGAAGAGTTACTATGGGATGTTCTTCAACTCCTCTTGTTTCGGAGAAAATGTTGTCTTTTAGTACTTGTGTTCAAACTCACACTTCGTATCCTAAACAGAAAAAAACAACTACTTGATTTTTATACCCTTAGGAGATGGTGAGAAAAAGTTGCTGCAAATAAAGTATTTTACTTGATATTTAGAGAGGGTTTGTGTCACATTTCTGCCCCTCCTGCCATTGCTCCTGTTTTCATGTTCTGTTTTCTCTGCTCATGTCACATCTCTGTGCATCTGTCACCACGCCCACTCAGCTGAATCACCACGATCAGTCTTCATGCAGTCCACCTGTTCTCAGCCCTACTTATACTCCATGTCCACACTCATTCAGTGCCAGATTACTGAAATCCTTCAAGTCAGGAGAAGTCCAGCGTTCGTTCCACAGCCTTGTTAGCCTGCCTGGTCTTGATCTTACGCCTGTCTCACAGATTCCTTGCCTTTCCCGCTCCTTGTCTACTTTGGATGATCCTTTCTGCCTATGGTATCGACCCCTGCTTCCTCTACCATGACCAAGCCTCAAGGATCACATTTTGAATTTGGCCCAGGACTTTTGATCACTCGTGTATGACCCTTGCCTGTTTATCTAGACCTCCCGTCTGGTTCTCCCTTAAAACTATGCAATGCTCTGCTCTGCCTCACAGCCAACCTGTCTTCACCACTGGTGACATCATCTGCTCCAACTCCCTCGAGGAGCCCCTCCTTTACCTTTTAGTTCCTGTCTGAGTATCTGTCATATCACTGTCAGTGAAGTCCTGCTCACTAATTCTTCTGTCTCTCCAGATTGGCCTGGCCTTGGGAATTTGACCTCCACCAGCAGCTGCTCTGCTTATTAATAAAAAGATTAACTTACTCCTGTTGTCTTCTGTCAAGTTTGAATCCTAAAATCTGGTTCTTGTCAGTTTGGGCACAATTCAATGATTCATACCAGAGATTCAATTCAAAAGTATTTTATTAATCCCAGAGGTAAATTAAACGTAACTCATCATCCTGGTTTCATTAAGTCAAGTCAAAATCAACTTTAGTGTCAAAACTGCAATATGTACAGGACATACACAGGATTGAAAATACATTACTCTCAGACCCCTGGCACAACAATAACCATTTAACATTAAAACATTTAATAAACAGAAGCATAAAATGAAATAATAAAAGTATGATACTGTCCTAAATTGTAGTATAGCGGTATAAAAAATATAAAAAAGTCTTCTTGTTCTTCTTTGGGTTTTTCCCTCTTCAGGGGTCACCACAGCAAGTCATCCTCCTCCCCCTCACTCTCTCCTCTGTATACTCTGTTCTCACTCCAACTACCTTCATATCCTCTCTCACTGCATTCAGATATCTCCTCTTTGGCTGTTTGGGGGAAGAATCAGTTTTGTGTTGTGTGTTTCCTTTACTGATGAATCCTTCCGGATGGAAGGTGAAACGTTTCAGAAAAAATAAGAAACTGTCCAGATGACCTGACTGAAAATTTTTGGATTGTATACCTGGATTATTGAGCATGGACTTTTTTGGTTTTGAACCAGTTTGACATGACTTTTGACGAGGAAGAGAGCTGGCACCACAGGAGGGGGCATGCCAAAGACACCATCTTAGCACTGTCCCTCCTCTTGACATGTCCAAACCATCATTCTGGCCTCTCTAACTTTGTCTCCCAGTTGTTCAACCTGTGCTGTACCTCTGATGATCTCCTTCCTAATCTTATCCAGCCCTAAGGAGAACCTTAGCAACTTCATTTCTGCCACTTCCAGTTCTTTCTCCTGTCTTTTTGTCAATGCCACTGTCTCCACACCATACAATATAGCTGGTCTCAGCACTGTCTTGTAAACTTTTCCTTTGACCTTTGCTGACACCTTTTTGTCACAAATCACTCCTGAAACTTTTCTCCATTCACTCCATCCTGCCTGGACTCTCTTTTTCACCTCTTTACCACATTCCCCATTTTCCTGGACAGTGGACGCCAAGTACTTGAAGTCCTGCACCTTTGTGACGTCTGCTCCTTGTAGCCTCACTGTTCCACCAGCCTCCCTCTCATTCACACACATGTACTCTGTCTTACTACGACTGACTTTCATTCCTCTTCTTTCAAGTGCAAACCTCCACCTCTCCAAGCTCTCTTCCAACTGTTCCCTGTTCTCACCACAGATCACGATGTCATCTGCAAACATCATCGTCCATGGGGATTCTTGCCTGACCTCATCTGTTAGTCGGTCCATCACTAGAGCAAACAAGAAGGGGCTCAGAGCCGATCCTTGATGCAATCCCACCTCCACCTTGAAGCTATATGTCACTCCTAGAGCACATCTCACCACTGTTCTGCTGTCCTCATACATGACCTGTACTAGTCTAACATACTTTTCTGTCACTCCCGATTTCCTCATGCAATACCACACCTCTTCCCTCGGCACCCTGTCGTATGCTTTTTATAAATCCACAAAGACACAATGGCGTTCTTTCTGACCCTCTCTGTACTTCTCCATCAGCATTCTCAAAGCAAAGATGGCATATGTGGTGCTCTTTCTTGGCATGAAACCATACTGCTGCTCACAGATAGTCACCTCTCGTCTAAGGCTTGCTTCCACAACTCTCTCCCAGCTCTTCATTGTGTGGCTCATCAACTTAATTCCCCTGTAGTTGCTACAACTCTGTACATCAACCTTGTTCTTAAAAATGGGCACCAGCACACTTCTTCTCCAGTCCTGAGGCATTTTCTCACCCTCATATATACCATTGAATATTTGAGTCAAAAACCTCATTGCCATCTCTCTAAGACATTTCAAAACCTCCACTAGTACGTATGTCATCAGGTCCTACTGCCTTCCCATTCTTCATTCTTTTCAGAGCTTTCTGAACTTCACCCTCACTAATATTTCCCACTTCCTGGTCCACAGTTTCTATAACCTCTACTCTTCTTTCTCTTTCAATCTCTTCATTCATTAGCTCCTCAAAGTACTCCTTCCATCTTCCCGTCATGCTCTCCTCACTTGTAGAGCATTACATTCCTATCTTTAATAAGCCTAACCTGCTACACATCCTTTCCAGCTTGATTCCTCTGTCTTGTCAATCGGTACAAGTCCTTCTCGCCTTCTTTAGTGTCCATTCTCCCATACAACTCATTGTACGCCCTCTGCTTTGCCTTAGCTACTTCCCTCTTTGCTCTACGTCCATCTCCTTATATTAATGTCTCCTCTCTTTAGTCATGACAGAAATTGGTTTGAGAAACTGTTGAATAATGAGAACATTTCACAATTTTTCCACTGAAGCTTTGTTTTTGTTGTTAATGACATGGGTGGTTTTGTATAGTGGAGGTTATTGCTATAAAGATTGTAAAGACACAGATATTTGAATAGTTTAAGAAACAGGTAAAAAAACAAATACTTCTTGTCCTGATATGAGATCTCAGAAGTGAGGGAGTCTTTTTATGACTGTTGCTCAGGCACCTTAACATTTTAGTAATTCTTAGACGCATGAACACACACAGGTGACCACTCAACACCAGCCTGGCAGCAACAGTCAGAAATAAGCTGTTGTGTGTAGTACCTCTCCCATGAAGATGCTGTCCTCCTCTGGAGACCTGGGTTGGTCCCACACCGTCAGCTCGAGCATGTGATTACGAAAATCCCTTCGATGAACGTGAGAGTAGACAAACGCCTGGTTCCACTTCGGCTCGCAGGTCTTCTTCACTGTTTTTGTCCTTCGTTTACTTTTGTCACTGTGTTGGACAACAGGATTTATGACTTTGCTTTCAGTAAACCTTTACAAAAATTTTAGCTGACAAAAAGTAAATCATAACCAATATGGCACAACCATGCACCAAGATGATTATCTTGAATATTTTTCCAATATGGGGGCAGTTGACATATGTCATACCTTCTTTGAACTTTATAAGACACTGATTCATTTGACTCCTGACTACAATCCATTTAAAATTTTGTGAGATCAGTGACTTTACATATCTCCATCCCACAGTGATTGATCAGCATACCTGCGATCTGGGAGGAAGTACATTTTGACATAGGGACTCCTGGGACGCCCATCAGGCCTAAGAGGAAGCTCCACAGCCTGCAGCACATTAACGATTAACTGGTGACCCACTTTGTCGTACCACAGCTTCACCTGGGGGAGAAGCACAACAACATGCACAATGTTTTCAGGTGACAATTGAACCCAGAAGGAGTCCAAACCTATCAGGCAGCACAAGCTCACCAAGAGTCGGCCTGGCATCAACTGTGAAGCATCTTGGAGCATCCCAGGACTGGAGGGAGATAGGACATTTAAGGATGGTCTCTCCATCTTCTGGGACTCAAAAGAACTGGAACCTGCTATAATATATAAAAAAGAAAAGTTTAAAATTCAAAACAAGAAGTGTCTGCTTTTATTCAAAGGAGACACGTAACCATGTCTCTTCTTGTTTTAGTAAAATCTAATTTAATCCATGACCAAATCCTAAAGTGTGTTCCAGTAACTTCTTGGCTTATTGAGAACTTTGGAAAAAAGCTGTTAGACTTGTCAGGATGACATATGAGTCAGAATGTCTGTCCTAGTTTGCAGGAATTCTGATACTGTTTACTGATGAAGAAACTAACTCAAAACATATCGCTGAATTTAATGCAAATTATATAAAAAAGGCACATTTTCCCTTAAATTTGATTAAATGTCATAATTCAAACACAGCCAAACATTTTTTAATACTTTTCCTTCAGTTTGTAAAAGTTGACACACAGGTCAAACTCTAAAAATAACCCAAAGGGTGAAAAATGTTTGTTTGACATCTTACAGAAAATTAAAAAAAATATACATTTTTCAGTCACACTTTGCCTACAACTGTATAGTTCAAAGCTTTTAAAATTATATTAAGCAAACAGGTCAAGTGCATTCAATAAAGGCTGTTTGTTCTTTTTTGATTAACAAATAAAATAATCTCTGCAGTGAGACAGACCTACAGAAACATCTGAAGGGAGAAACTTACTAGATTCTAATGGAGGGTGGGACGTATCGGGGATTCTTGGGATATCACTGAAAAAGAGACGGAAGAAAATGTCAACCATCATGTTGGATGAAACAATGTTAGAAATAAAGCTGGTAAAAAAAACATGCAGCGGCATTTCAACAGAAAGAAGCAGTGAAAGAATCAGATTAGTTTTGGTGACCACGTGAAGAGCATCATGTGGTCAAACAACATGAAGAAGCAGAATAAAGATGAGGCATGCTCTGTTTAATAGATTCATTCATTCATCTCTTGAAGCTGAGTCATGAGTTCAAAAATTAATAATGATGATGAAATGATGAAAACCAGCAGCTCAGTTCTGCCAGCAGCCCTCCGTCCCTCTGGAGACACAAGTATTTACTGCACCAGCAATAAAACTGAACAAACTGTGAAGCACTTATCAGTCATGTTTTTATTTTAAATTAATTTTGTCAAAAGGCAAAGACTTGAGTTGGTTAACATACAACACAAACACTGGTCCAGTTCTGCTAAAACCATACTATAGCTTCTTCTAGAAACCATGTCTCACATTTGTGCATTTGTGTTGCAATTCTATGCTGCTTTGAGATATGTGGCTTTATGAAAATTACATCACTTCATCTTTTTATGTATCATATAACCTAGCATCAACAATAAGAGGTCTAGCAGTTTCAGATCGGCACAAATTTATTATTGATGGTAAAACATTTTGTACAAAGTGGCAACCTTGAAGCATCACATGTACTTACATTTAGAACAGTGTAAAAACAAAACTTTCAAAGCAGTGGCCCAAATAACATATCACAACCTTATACTGCACTTTGCTAATACTTTGTGTCCTCTGCTATAACATTTGGCATTCTTGTTGTAGTTATATCCAAAATAGGTGTTGCCATTGTTTGTCTTTCTCCTCCATCTCATTAGAGCTGCATGTCATTGTTGTTTTCTTTTGTGTTCTTGGTATATTTACCTTGTAAATAGAACAGTCATGATATTCTGTGATTGCTGCTAAACAATGTCTACATAAAGATTGGGTGTGGTCGCATGATGTGTACTGTTATACAGTAAAACCAACATTTTCTACTTGTCATCCATCACACAAACATGAGCCTGTAAGGAAGTGATGTGTGAGCTGCTGTTGTTGGTTTGGTTTGAACAATACTTGAAGATAAGAAGAACAGTAGACAAATTACTAGAGTGATCAATGACAGGATAAAGCAACACGGAGAACTATCAAGAGGAAAACAACAACCCAAAAGATGATGAGTGAAACCATGTTGACAGAAGACTTACATTCAAACACATAGACTCATGGAAGAACTGTGACAAGAAGATACTCCTGAAAGCCACAGATATGCTGCTGCACTGTCATATACAAGAACAACTATTACACCAATGAAAACAACAAAACAGTTATGCCACAACAATGTAGCATAGGCCAAGTTTACACCACCATGACACCACATTGTAACTTTCCCAAACCTTTTCTCAATGAGTAGAAAATAAATTCCATTTGACTGCATCACAAATGTTACATTCTGTAGATGTTATAAGACTTAAATTTTTACAACATAGTATTGATCTAACAAGTGAGGAGACCATGATGGGGACGATGGAATGAGTATTTTGAGAAGCTAATGAATGAAGAGAATGAAAGAGAAATAAGAGTTGAGGTCATAGAAACTGTGGACCAGGAAGTGGGAAAGAGTAGTGAGGGTGAAGTTCAGAAAGCTCTGAAAATAATACAGAAGGGGAAGGCAGTAGGACCTGATGACATACCAGTGGAAATGTCTGGGAGAAATGGCAGTGAGGTTTTTGACTCAAATATACAATGGCATATTTGAGGGTGAGAAAATGCCTCAGGAATAGAGAAGAAGTATGCGGGTGCCCATTTTTAAGAACAAGGGTGATGTACAGAGTTGTAGCAACTACAAGGGAATTAAGTTGATGAGCCACATAATGAAGATCTGGGAGTTGTGGTAGCTAGAATTAGACCAGTGATGATTGTGAGTAGCAGGATGGTTTCATGCAAAGAAAGAGCACCACAGACGCCAGTTTTAGTTTGAGAATGCTGATGGAGAAGTACAGAGAGGGTCAGAAAGAATGCCATTGTGTCTTTGTGGATTTAGAAAAAGCATATGACAGGGTGCCGAGGGAGGAAATCTGGAGTGGCAGAGAAGTATGTTAGACTGGTACAGGACATGTATGAGGACAGCAGGACAGTGGTGGGATGCGTTGTAGGAGTGACAGATAGCTTCAAGGCAGAGGTGGGAGTGCATCAATAATAATAATAATAATAATGATAACAATACATTTTATTTGTATAGCACTTTTCTAGTTACTCAAGGATTGGCTTTGTGCCCCTTCTTGTTTGCTCTGGTGATGGACTGTGAGGATTTGTGTTCCCTAGTGTGCCTCCCTCTTGTGGTCTGTCCTAGTTCCTGCCATGCCCACCTGCTCCTGATTGTCTTTTCCCAAGGTGTTTGTCATTGCCTGTTGTTAGTGTTTGTACATAAGTCTGCACCTCTGTGTTGAAAGAGATTTCAAGATGATGCTGGTGTGTAGGGCTTGCCGTACATCGCTCTCTGCTTTGGTTTTGTTTTTATTAGTTGTACAGTGTGTTATGCAATGTGTCGACGCATATCTGCAATATGATAGTCAAGCACTTTTGGAGCTCCGTAGTTTTGCAGAATTGCCTAAGGAGATTCTCCACAGTGGTCGGGACTCTCTATCTCTGGTCCTGTTCGAGTTAACTGCCTTCCTGCTTCATGACCCTGACCCATCTCCCTGAAGGAGACGCCACAGACGTCGGGGAAAGCGTGCTGGAGTTTTGGTGAAAATGAGGCTTCGTGTGGATTATTCTGCCAAGGATGCTGGGGCATGTTCTGGATCTGAATTTGATCCTCGCCTCCCAGACCCGTGGTGTGTCTGGGGCCCTGCTGTTGACCAACTACCCGTGCGCCCTGACCATGTAAACAACAGAAGTTGTCTACCGGCATGGCCAACGACCTGACATGGAGGTGTTGATGTTCAAAATCTGTAACTGCTGGCACGCGCTCCTTCCTCTGCTGGGTCCACTTTGGACTGTATCAGGATGTGTGTGGTCAACGCAAGATCCATTACCAACAAAACTTTTATCCTCAGGAACTACTTTCAAGAGCACGATTTGGACTTTCTCTGCGTCACGGAATCTTAGATGTCTCCCGGTGAGTCCAGCGCCTTGACAGAATTATTACCCCCAGACTGTCTGTATTTTAATGACCCGTGGCCATCAGGCAAGCGCAGTGGTGGATTATTAATAATTTTCAAATCAAGTTTTGACTGTAAACAACTGTCCATCCCGGTTTCCTGCGCCAGCTTTGAGCTGAGCATCTTTGAACTCAGCCATTTGCCTTCGACTCTGTGCACACTTGTCTACCGCCCCCCAAGATCAATGATTTCATAAATTAATTTTCTGTGTTTTTGGCTGAAATCACACCAAAATGTGATTATATTTTAATCATTGGGGACTTGAATATTCATGTTTGTTGTCAGGAGAAGCCCTTGGTTAAAGACTTTTTAGATTTATTGAACTCATTTAATCTAACACAGCAAGTAAATGGTCCCACCTAGGAGAGCGGGAACACTCTGAACCTTGTTTTAACACGTGGTGTGACAATTAGCAGTTTTGAAATCTGTGATAATGTGTTTTCAGACCTCATGCCAGTCCTGTTTGAGTTCACCTCCCCCAGTCTAACTCCTAAGCCATGCGCTGCTGCACGTCACAGCCGGGCCATTAACCGCTTCACTGCCGCATGCTTCACAGATGTCTTTAACTATGAAAAGAGCAATCAGCTCCCAGTGTTTCCCATCACCACTGATTAGATATCCTCCCAATTCAAATCCATCCATCCATCCATCCATCCATCCATTTTCTTTACCCGCTTATTCCATTTTGGGTCACGGGGGTCGCTGGTGCCCATGTCCAGCAATCACTGTGCGAGAGGCGGGGTACAACCTGGACAGGTCGCAAGTCCATCACAGGGCCACATAGAGACAAACGAGACAAACAACCATTCACTCTCTCATTCACACCTAGGGACAATTTAGAGTTACCAATCAGCCTAACATGCGTGTTTTTGGTCTGTGGGAGGAAACCGGAGCACCCGGAGAAAACCCACGCATGTACGGAGAGAACATGCAAACTCCACCCAGAGAGGCCCCTGGACCAGTGTTTGAACCAAGGACCTGCTCGCTGAGAGGCAGCAGCTCTACCAGTTGCGCCACCGTGCTGCCCCTCAATTTAAATCTCTCTGGTTAAAGGCTCTGCATCATGTTGCTCCTATAAATAACCAGAAAAACAAAACTCAGATAAGAATCTTGGCTGAATGACATGACCAAGGCCGTTAGACAGCAATGCAGGAGGGCTGAGCGTGGATGGAAGAAGGACCATCTGCAGGTCTCTTGTCAAATACTAAAAGAGAGTTGGCGTCATTATCAGAAAGCAGTAAAAGCTGCTAAATCTAAATACTTCTCTGATATAATTATAGCCAACTCTCGAAACCCATGTGTCCTCTTCTCTATCCTAAACTCAGTTCTCCACCTCACTGAACCATCACCTTTGGAAGCCTCAACTGAGCTGTGCGAGAACTTTCTACATTTCTTTTTAGAAAAAAATTGTGACCGCCAGGGCTCTTATTTCCCCCTCCAGCTTATGATCTGTCCATCCCATCCCAGTGTGTTGCTGTATTTGACCATTTTAGCCCATCTCTCCGTTTTCTTTAGAGCAGGTAACTTGCAGCATGAAACCATCTGGTTCCCCCTTTGATATGGTCCCCCCTTGACTCCTAAACAAGGTTTTTCCTACTCTGGACCCTTCTGTTCTCGCTATTGTGAATAGCAGTTTATCCTTAGGGGTGGTGCCAAAATCCTTTAAACATGCTGCTGTTCAGCCTCTGCTGAAAAAGTCTAACCTTGACCCCTCAGTTGTGTCCAACTTCAGGCCTGTCTCCAGACTCCCATTTGTTTCTAAACTACTAGAAAAAAATAATTGAGTCCCAGTTGAAATGCT